ATACAGTCACCAGGCGTCCTCAACACACACTGGTTGGTTCCTCCTTTGCCTCTAGTCCCACATTGTATCTTCAATAGATAATGGAGAATTATGACACAAAGGAGCTACTTCTTGGAACACATTCAAAGTCAGGTTTGGGAAACAGAACACACGTTTTTGAGAAGCGACAGGATGACCTAAGATTTGATTCAAAGTCATTCAAGACTAGTGCGCGGCATTTACTCTAAGCCAGGAGTTCCCGGGGGGGAGGGTCACTTTGCCATCGCCTGGGCCTAGGAAGAGGTTGGAAATGAGCCAGATGCTGAATGATGAATAGGGGTGCAGAAAGGAAGGAAGGGGTAGTGTGGGGGCCAAGTGAGGAGGGGAGATGGGCATTTCAAGCAGGAATTACACTAAAGCAGCAGGTGTGGGATTGGTGTTCCGAAAGGAAGCCACCAGGGGTAAAGGCCGGTGAAGCACCAGGCAGAAAGGTGGAAGGTGGGCTCCATGAGTGGCCCCGAGGGAGCAGGGGGTGCCGTTTGCCACTTGGAGATCAGCTATAGTTGGCAGCAAGTTCCTGAGGGTAGGGACCATGCGTGTCCCGTTCCCCACTGTTTCCAGAGCCTAAAAGGAGGCCTGCCACAAACCCTCAATAAATCCATTTTGAACGGATGAAAGGGAGAAAAATCAGCCCAACGACAGTGACTCGGAGGAAGACAAAGACAACACAAAAGGGTGCGGTCTAGTTTTGCAAAGAGATCAAGGGTGGCCAAGTCAGGGTTCCTGGAGAAGCGGAGAGGGAAATGGAGCTGCAGGGCAGGGACCTTAAGAAGGTTCGGGGGTGAGTGGAAGGTGAGCAAACAGACACTCTCTGCAGGGGAGGAGAGGGGAGGGGACGGCTGGCCGGGGTGGGGCGGAGTCCCTGGCGAGATCAGAGGGATGGAGAGGTGGGGCAGGCCAACTCTGGGAAGGTAACAAGCAAGACAGAGACACCCTGTGAATAAGGCAGGTGCCCTGACCTGGGGACAGAGCAAGGGAGGGCGGGAAGGCGGGCACAGGTTGGCTCCCCAAACGGCCTCTGCTCTCCCAAGCAAGAGGCGACGGTCTTCTGATAATGGGTTTTGGAGAAGGGGATGAACAGAGAACTCCAGGGCTTTATGCAGGGCCAAGGCGCCTTCCAGCTGGCCCGCGGAAAGAGCCAACGCGTGACTCCTCAGGCAGCAGCCGGGATCCAGCCCCAGCATCTGCAGGACAGACTGCAGCCGAGGGCTGTCGCGAGGGTGACCAAGGTAACCGAGGGCTCCACGTGGCTACAAACACCGCCACACCTCCCCCCGCTGGCCCATCTAGACCGGCCCCGCAGTTTCTAGTTCTGTAGGATCTAGCCCCCCATCGGCTGTGTGACAAGGAGGCCTGTATCCATTCCTTGATATTTTCGAGAACCAGGGGGGCTGTAAATAAACAATGAGGGGGCCTCATTAGGCTTCAGATTCCATACCTACTCCCGAGGAGGAGCTTTTTCATTCAGGTCTTTCAGAGTCCCTGGAAAGGCTGAATAAATTGAGAATAAAGACAATGCTGAGCACGGAGTGCTTGCTGGGAACACAGGCAAGCATCTGATAAGGGAAGGTATGAGGCGATCCCCAAACGTCCCTGCAGCCCTGACAGGCTAGGAAAACTGCCGGGGACCAGACTGAAAGACAGACAGAGGGAAAGCAGAGGACGGGAGCAGCATCCTGACCTCTCTGGTCAAAAAGGTCCCACCATTTATGGTAAACACGTGTTGCGGAAAGAAAGGTGCTTCTGTGCGACATCCATCACTGGGAAACCGTGGGAAACAGTGTCTCAAGGCAGGTGTACGAGTCCCTGCAATCTCTCCCCACGTTGCACATCTCCCATGGGACGTGGGAGGGAATCGATGGGAGAGCCCCCAGGAGATGATAGGAGGTCTTTTCCTCCCTTAATACCCTGTGCCTTGCCAATCTCCCTCCCCGAAAGGAGTGACCCCAGCACCGTCTGCAGAGTCACGAATGTTCTCTGCTTCTTGATGTGCCAAGGCACGTGTGGTTTTAATTATTTATGACAGTGTCTCACTGCACACGGGGATGTGCCGCGGAGTCACTTTTCTCAACTGATAAAGCCTTTGTCATCAGAGACCTGCTGCCTCTTGGCTGGCAAATCTCAGCTGAGAGGCGGGCCGGGCACTGCCTCTACCCGTCAGCGTGAATCAGCCGGGGACTCACAGAGGCGGGGCTAGCCAAGTCCCGTTACGAGGCTCCTGCGCACCCCTTGTTGTCGCCATCCATGTTTTCCGAAAACAGTTAGGAGCCATCCGCGGTCTACTGACAGGACAAAATATGCTGCTTCCCCGAAAAGGACACTTCCCTTGGTATCGGAGGGCTTTAACAACCCGAAGGCAGCTTGTGATTTCCTTCACTGGAGGTATGGCTTGTTCCCTTATTCCTTCCAGTCTTCATCCATAAACCTGCTTCCCCTCCACCTCCACTGACCCCTTCTCGTTTACAGGGACGTACTGCCTGGATCCTTCAATAGTCCGCTTTGAATCACAAATTAAACAGAGATTAGGAAGGAAGGCTTTTCTTCTACACCATTTCATAGGGCCATAGCTCCTTGGCTGGGACTGGATCCTCACATCAAAGGACACTCCGATCCCATAGCTCTCTCCACGGCTTGCACTTTGATGGCCCAGGGGAAACCTCCTTCCCACGTGCCAGATTCATCCCCACCCGGCAATCGTCCTGGGAAGCTGGTATCAGGAGCTCACGCGACCCAGAGATTAGAACACCAGGAGCCCAGAAATTCCACCCTCGTTATTCATGGATTTCGGATTTACAAAGTCACCCACTTGCTAAAATTTAAGCGTCACCCCAAAACCCACACTCTTGGGTGCTTTTATGGTCATTCGTAAACAGGCAAGCAGTGGCGAGAAATCGGAGGCAGCCGACGTGCACATTTCCACATGACGTGCTACCTTCTTATTTCAGCTCTCCTACCATAAATGAGCGTCCCTTCTGTAGTCCCTTTAGTGCCATTTTCTGCATGTGTGCTTTTTGTGGGTGATTTCACTGGATATAATGGCCCCAAGCATAGCACTGACTTTCTAACATTCCAATGAGCAAGAAGGCTGTGGTGTGTGTGCCTTATGGAAACAACAGGTGTGTTAGGTAAGATCCGGGTGCTAGAAAAGCGTCCTTCAGGCATGAGTCATAGTGCTGCTGACTCTAAGTTCAATGTTAATGAACCAGGGATATCTATTAAATAGGCGTGTTTAGACAGAAGCACACATAAAACAGGTTATGTATTGATTAGTTGATAAAAACGCTGTGACCAGATGCTCACAGGAACCTAACCCTGGATGTCTCCTAGGAGCAAGGGCTCAGCAGCCACTAATTCAGTGTTCACGGTGACTCTGTTGGAACATAACTACTGTAAGTAACGAGAATCAATTGTGTATTCAATACAGCAAGGCCTAAGTTCTGTTCAAATGCTAACATGGCTCTGAAAAGCTCAGCAGCGTCAACTCTAGACCTGGCTTGGACTCCATGCTACCACCCCAGAAAACCTTTCCTTCCAGCCACACTCAGGCCAGTCCAAGATGAACCTGACTGGAGGCAAGACCTTTAGCCAGAGCAGAACCATTCTTAGCACTGTGTTCCCCCACTATTTATCTGACACCCAGGTATTTTTCTTCCCTTGCCCTGGTCCGGAACCCAGATATCCTTCCTCTGACACTGACGGGGGTGGGCGTCCAATAAACACAGAGACCAATTCTGGAGGACACCCAAGGTTGGAAGGCACATGATGATCTCATTCTGACTCGAGCCCAGAACCTCCCACTGTGGTAATCCTCTCTCTAAAAATTGGAACCAGAAAAACAGAAGCAAAGGTCAGTGAGACAGCTGAATGCCCACTCTGCCGTAGGACGGACCAGCGGGAGCAGCAAGAGTTCCGTGAGCTACAGTGTGGCCCGAGTACAGCTCTTGGAAGAGCAAGACTCGAGGTGCCTCTTCTGTGGCCAAACCCTGAGCCCCGCGGACAGAAGAAGAGAACCTACGGCACAAGCCTGGGGACGGGGAAGGGAACTCGCAGCCTCCCCATATCTCAGTTCTCCTGTCGGAAGATGAGGCCTTCCCATAACCCAGTCTTTCCATCCCTTCCAGCTCTCAGGCAATCTCCAGGGGCCTCTGCTGTCTCTCCTGAACTGGCCGACCATTTCTTGAGGGCAGGAGCAGGGGAGGCTATGCGCTGGGGTTGCCAGCCCTACACTGACCCTGGGACACAGGGAAGGGAAGAACTGCTGGCTGGAAGGTCCAAGCCACGGAGGCTCCGGAAGCTGGGAGAGGCCCTGGGAGCTGGGAGAGGCCCTAGCAGAACTCAGCAGGAACACAAAGAGAGGGGCTGGAACCAACAGCAAGTAAGAAACGGGGAGGAAACAGGTGCCCTGAGTCCTCTGATCGGAATGAGACATCTGCAGAGGGAGGTGAGGTGTCCAAGTGCTGGGACCAGGATCAGATGCTCAGAAAGTGCGCACTTCGGGGCACTGGAGGGGCAGCTAGAGAGATGTTTCCATTCAAAATGTGCCCACCACCCTTCATTCCCTTGCCCTTTCATGGAGGAGGCTGGGGTGGAGAGTCTGATAACCTCAGGGGCTGTTGTCTGGACAGAGTCAGGTTACACTTCCTAAATGCATAGGCCAGGTCTGTAGAGAAGACCAGCCTGGTCTGTACCCCCTGCCTTACTGGGAGCACCTCTCCATGTGGGGCTGGGGCTCCTGCCTCTGAGCTACTTCTCATCCTGAGCCCCCTGTGCCCCAACGGAGACCCCTTGATGAGGCTATTTTTTTCAAGTTTTGAGACAAACAGGGAGGGTCTCTTAGAGAGTGGGAGGTTAGCAGGTGGCAGGTCACCTCAGAAGGTTCCAGAACCCCAGCTAGGTGGTCTGTTGCCATGGCCCCTCCCCTGCCCTCCCCAGAAGGGACAACATTCTACTCCAGTACTCACACGTGTCTGGCTTGTGGCAGTTGTGTCCCTGACGGAAGTACTGGGGGTTCTCAATGACTGGGATCCGGGTCATGCCGATGACCACCGTGTCTGGCCCAGCGTCCAACGACGAGGGTGTGGTGATGCCATGGTTGATGTGGTGCAGCGGGCTGGCTGAGTCCTCCTCGCCGCTGATGACAGCCACGGGGCCTGCACACACCAGGAGAGACACAGGACTCTGATGAGGTCATGTCTGGCCAGTGCCTGGCCCTGCCCACAGACCCTTTCATGATTTTGGCCACCACATTTCCTTAAGAGTAAAATCCACTGCAAGAGTATTCCCCGAATGCTCTGGAGTCTGCATTCAAAGAACCACCTCTGCATTCTCTTTCTTGAGAGAAACATCCACGCTATCACACACCATGGAAACAGCTGCAAAATAAGAGTGTATCAAAATGACTAGGACATGAATTATTTGTACTTCCCCCAAATCCAAATTAGTTCAAAATAATGCAAATTTTACATGAGTTCTTGGCTTATGTAGGAACAACGGGCTGAAAAAAAATTTTTTTTTTTTTTACACAGCAGGAACTTGCACCCTGCCCCTCCTCCCTTCAGGAGCTTTAAAAACTATTTTTTAATTTTTTTTCATGTTTTGTTATTTATTTTTGAGAAAGAGACAGACTGTGAGAAGGGCAGAGGCAGAGAGAGAGGGATACAGAATCTGAAGCAGGCTCCAGGCTCTAAGCTGTCAGCACAGAGCCCGATGCAGGGCTCGAACTCATGAACCACAAGATCATGACCTGAGCCGAAGTCGGACACTTAACTGACTGAGCCACCCAGGTGCCCCAGGAGCTTTAAAAACTATTGATGCTGGGTCCCACCTCCAGATTTTGATTCAGTTGGTCAGGGGACAGACCTGGGCATCAAGATTTAAAGAGCTTCTGTGTGAGTCCCTGGCATGGCCAGGATCTGGAGCCTCTACTTAGAGTCTTGGAGGCTGAGAGCCTTTCCAGAGTGGCCCTTGGAATCCTACAGGAACGTATGTAGCTTTCGCTGGACTCTATCACCTCTACCTCTCTCGGTCCACGGGGAAATAAGCCGAGTATGAGCCCAGAGGGAGCCAGCTTTCAAAGTGACAGTAATTTGTCTGCGTCACTGATAGCCTTCAGGCAACTGGGTCAGTATCCCACTCTTGAAGGATCCACCCTGCCCCAGTGGCTTCAAGGAACATCATTCGTGTCTTCACCAACCCCGACTCCACAATTTTCTAACCCAAAGAAGAAACCCAGTAAGTCGGGTTATTTACAGAGATAATTATTGCCGCCATCTTGGCAGAGCAATGGTTCTGTCTGGTGGTGAGGTTCTCCCATACATACAAACAGAACCCGGGTAAAGTGCATTAGCTGTGACTGTGGCTTCATACAACTAGTGTTTGAAATGGCTGCTTTGCAAGACACGTGGTCCCAAGACAAAGTGCCTGCTGTGATTTGGTTTTGCGACTTGAACAATATTTCCACGGCAGAAATCCATTACATCTACTGAAGTTTATGGGGAGAATATTTCCCATCAAATAGAGAGGGGAAGCACCAATGAGGCAGAACTAAAAGGGAGACTAGTAAATGCAAGCTGGGGACCCTGAATTCTACTCCGTCGGCACAGACAGGCTTATTCCAATCCATGACAAATGCCTGATGGTGTTTGGAGACCGTGTGAAAAAGCAGCAATGAGTGGCGATAATCACTTGCCCTGCAACCAGAGAGGCCAGTGCCTGAAAACACCTTGTAAACTTTGAAAAACTTCATCGTGATTCCAATTCATCAGTGAAAGCATAGCACGGGTTTTTACCACTCCTCCCGCCCCAAATGCCTCTAAAACATGAAAGAAAGAAAGAAAGAAAGAAAGAAAGAAAGAAAGAAAGAAAGAAAGAAAGAAAGAAAGAAAGAAAAATTAAAGAAATATTTGTACACAAAGAGCAAGAAGAGGGGAGATGAGAAGAAATAAGATATTTCAGTGTTTTGGAAGATGCAATGTAAAATGAGGAAAGCTCGCTTACAGGGACTGCAGGGGGAATATTTACGGAAGGTCAGCTCTGCGGGGTGGCCTAGTACTTGAAGGGACAGGGTCGCCCAGAAGGCTGGGGGGTAAGGCTCAGGGCTGGAACAAGGTACCCAGGCCATCACCTCGCTCCCAGTCTAGTGGTTTCTTCCTGGAGAAAATTAACTGGAAGGGCTCCGGGGAAGGACTGGCCCCCTTCCTCTTGCTCCTAGAAGACAGAAACCAAGAAGGACCGTGCCTGCCATCTACCCTACTCCTAGTCTCCTCTGTAGGAGATTCAGGGGATGCTTCTCTGCAGAAACCAAATGCCTCAAAACAAACAAACAAAAAACAAAACAAAACAAAAAACACCTAGCTGTTTACATGTGGCGGTCTCCCAACGAAGCCATGCTTACTTTGTGATCATGCCACAGTGAAGGCTAATAGTTGACAAGGCCCATCTGTGTGAGTAAGTGCTTTCTAATCCTTGATTCCTAAATATGAGAAAATAGCCCAGGATCACCAGACACTTAGGCAAAGCTGCGGCATGAAAGAGAGAGTGCAAGACAGACAGACAGTCAGGGACCGACAGGAAACGGAGGCAATGCAGGGAGCAGAAGACTTCTTTTCTAAATCACTAATGTCCTCAGAGAGACCAATGAAGATATCACACCCATAAAACAAGAGGATATTTAAAACGTGAACAGTTTAAGGCTAAGAAAAAGTCCCTGAGAATTACGACCATTAGAATTCGAAAGTCAAAGAACAGCGGAAGAGAAAGCCAAGGAAATTTTCCAGAAACTCAAACAAAAAAGAAAGAGGAGGTAAATAGAAAGGAAAAGATAAAATTAAAGACTCCATCCAGAGACTCGATATCTAATTAAGAGAAAGGTAGGGTAGGGAGAGGGAAGGAGAGAGAATAAAAAGATTAAAGAAAGGATTAAAAAAATTAGGGAAAAATTTCTCCAAATGATCTGTCTACTCAGTTTCCAGCACAATTAATACACGCCTGTGTGCATATGGTGTAAGCACACGCACCCCCCCCACACACACAGATGCATCAAGGCACAAAGTTATGAAATGCCAGCATCTTGAGAGAAGACGCTAAGAGCTTGTAGGAGGGAGGGAAGGGTCCCATTTCGAAAGGAACAGAAATCAGAAAGACAATGCAATTCTCCATTACAACCCACTGTGGCTTCCCTGTGCAATTCCTTCAAAACTTTGACGGACAAGTTTTCAGCCAAAACTCTACCCCTAGAAGTTTGTTCACTCATTGTAGAAAGCAAAAGAAAGGTATTTGCAGGTGTGTAGACATTCGCCTCCCCCTATCCTGGGAAGCAGCAGGAGGGGACACTTTGGCAAGACAAAGGTACAAATGGGAAAAGAAGGAATAGAAGATACAGTTCCAAAAAGACCAAATAACAGAAGCCCCCCCACCCCCACCTCACCCCCTTCTGTTCTCAGCATCATGGGATGTGCGTTGTTATAGTGACACGGAGGCAGGACACCACATCAGGAGGAGTCTGGAGAAGACAGTACATTGGGACGTGAGCCTTTTACTGTTTCTTTGAATCTGTGTCTCACAGAGTCAATGGACAGCGAGTGGTCAACAAAACGTTCCAAAGCCTGTAATCTAAAACGGTCTCTACTTTCTCAACGTTATTCTAGGATCTCAGAGGGATAGGTAAGGGCCATGGGGAGGAGAAGGGTCCTGCTACAGGCTCCTAAGCCACGGGAAGGGATGGGGTCACCCAGGAAGACTTCACAGAAATCTAAGAATAAAGCAAACGTTGAAGCCCTAATCCTTAAAATGCAGGCAGAGGAGGGGGAGCAGGGAAAGGAACATGAGAAGAAACAGCCAGAAAAGCAGAAGAGAATCAGTAAAGGACACTGTCTTAGAAGTTAAAGGAGGAGAATCCCTGCAAGTTCAAGAGCATCACATACTAAGGCCAAGTAGGGTGAAGAACGAATATAGGCCACCGTACATGACAACACGAAGGTGGCCTTAATGACAGCAGTTCCCACAGAGGAGTGACAGGAAGAAAACATTCAATTACAGCGGGTTGAGGAGTAAATTAGAGATACCGTAATTGCCATAATAATTTTATTATTATTTATTATTATTATTATTATTATTATTTATTATTATTATTATTGTGTGCATTCTACGCATCAGGCTCTGTAAATGCAACTCCTTTAACTTTATAATGCTTCTGTGAAGTCAGTACCACCATTTTCCCCATTTTACAGATGGAGCACTGAGGCATAGAGCCGTGCCTTGCCCAAGGTGATGCTGGGATACAAACCACCAGTCTGCCCAGAGCCTGTGCGCATGACCATTACGCGGCACTGCCTCCTCGAAAGTGCAGACTGTGGGCGAAATTGTTTGTTCAAAGGGACGCTTGGTCATTCTGGTACATTATCCTCCTCGTGACCATTTGCCTTCAATTGCAGATCCCTGAGACCCTTTTTAAAGAGGTTCCTCTTGATCCTTGAGAATGGGGACAAGAGTGAATCACCTCATTAGACTCACGAAGATAGATTATGGGTAATTCATCACGAGCTCCGGGTCCCAGAGCTGCTGAACGCTTGTATTCCGCTACATCCACATCAAAAAGAGCACTGTGCCGTCAGACCGCTGTCCGGTCCCTGAGGCCCTCTTACTCACCTCTGCTCCTCCATAAACCACAGTCCTTAAAATAAAAGCCAATAAAGAGTGCAGAGACCCATCACTTCAAAGAACATAAGAGGACACCCCTGTAGCTTGCTCCTGCCCACCTGCACCAGCGTCCAGCACAGTGCCCAGCACGGCTGCAGCCGGTGCTGAGTGAGGCAAGTCCTTTCTTTGGGACAGGGCTGCCCTGGATACGGCCGGACATGTGGCCTCTGTGGACCTGGGCATTAAAAGCCAGTATCAGGGGCGCCTGGGTGGCGCAGTCGGTTAAGCGTCCGACTTCAGCCAGGTCACAATCTCGCGGTCTGTGAGTTCGAGCCCCGCGTCAGGCTCTGGGCTGATGGCTCAGAGCCTGGAGCCTGTTTCTGATTCTGTGTCTCCCTCTCTCTCTGCCCTTCCCCCGTTCATGCTCTGTCTCTCTCTGTCCCAAAAAATAAATAAACGTTGAAAAAAAAAAATTAAAAAAAAAAAAAAGCCAGTATCAGATTGATCAGTGGTA